GAACTGGAATTATCAACCATCCTGACCCATCTGATCTCACTTGAATAGTACTGAAAACAGATGTGAATGCTCTAAAGACAGATTAAGAATGGATTGGTCAAGACTGCCTTAACATCTGGTCTGAGACACTTTCATCCACATTCTTTGGGTGCCCCTAATTAAAGCCACTTTTTTTAAAAAAAAAGGGAATTTTAAAACTAATTGTCAATTCTAAATTGTCACTAGGTGAAAGTGTGAATGGTCCATCTCATTTGCCTCTGTGTAGCCCTGTGATGGACTGGTGACCTGTTCAGGATGTGTCCAGCCTTCTAACCAATGACCACTGGAGTTAGACACCACCTCCCTGTAAACTTAACGGGAGCATGTGTTCTCATACTACGCCTGTATCCGTAAATAACGCCAAAGTGATTCAGGTGGATCCAAACCACATTAATGTCAAATAATAATGTACCTGAATGAATCTATAGTCAAGTACCGGTAGATCTCCTGTTGCTGAGACAGCCTATTGTATGACACGGTTATGCGTTTATTAGCATGTGGAGTGGGTAAACAAGATCTGATCATGCAGAAATAAATTTTACTTCCAGGTGTGAACATTTTAAAGCAGATTCAGCCATGACAAATGTTTGTATCAGGTCTGAACAGGGCCTGTGTTGGTGAAGGTCATTTGTTGTGTTATTTATAATTTATAAATGGCCATAACCAACACTGCAACACAACAATCACCCACTGGTGATTTAAAAGCATTAATGGGCGCAGTACAATCACAACCAACCAATGCAAACATCACTCTGTGCACGTTCTTCAAAAAATGAAACGCTGACCTCCTGGGTGGATATTACTACTTACACATATGTTAAACACTGGTTTTACAAAACCGGTCAAATTCTTCTCCAAGCAACCCTCACGAGTGATTTTCCACCTAAACACATGGGCAGGAGTTTGAGCACAAAAACTGATTTGAAGTCAGATCTGGCTTTAAATCAGCTCTACAGCTGCCTCAGTTCAAAAAGCACAATTTACTGATTTAGAGGTTTAACAGTACATCGTTGCTACAGAGTGAAACAACAAAAAGTACTTTGTAGGTAATTCGCAGCCCAATTAAATAAATTGTAATTCAGCAGTATAGTATATTGTTTCAGGTAGGTGGTAAAATAAATACTAATTTTAAAAACATGATGGGCAAGAACATCTTAAAATCTTCAAGTTCCCAAAGAGCTCGTCTTAAAACTCTTTACCATTAAACGTTTAGAAACTTTAACTTAAAAATAAACTCATTACATAGTAATGCATGTAGATCAATTAAAAATAATAATAAATGCTTACTTGCGCTAGGAAATTATTATCTCCTTTAAGGATCTAACTTAACCGCAGCTCTGTACATTTATTTTTCTCGTCGTTCTGAAAGCTGCAGGGCACAAAAACAGTTTTCATCACAAGTCCGTTGACAGTTATCAAATGAAATTACAAAGATATGAACGAGCTCCAAGCAACACGACAACACCTCCCTCACATTCAATTTATTGTTTTAATTTCTCATTTATGCTGACGATTTAATTTGATGCTGCGTTTAATCTACACGTACTGCTCGGGGGTCATTACGTTTCCCACAGACAATTGTTACTGTCGCACAACGTGCAGGATTTTTTTGATGCACTTACAAAACGTCTCAAATCTGCTACAGTTTCAAAAGACAAACAAAAACCACTAATATCAAACCAATGTAGCCATGATAAAGCATCAATAATTCATCCATTACGCAGAGTAGAATATGTTCAACGTTAATCAGTTTAATAGCCAATAATAAAATTATAGATTAACTGTATTCATGTTAAGTCTTATGAAGAACATCACTTTTTGACCTAAGTGATTTGTATCTGCAAAATGCTGAGATACCATCCATCCATTATCTTTACCCGCTTCTTCCTTTTCGGGTGGCGGGGGTCACTGGTGTCCATGTCCAGCAGTCACTGTACGAGAGGTGGTGGACACCCTGGACAAGTCTCCAGTCCATCACAGGGACACATAGAGACAAATGAGAAACACCCATTCACTCACACCTAGGGACAATTTAGAGTTACCAATCAGCCTAACATGCATGTTTTTGGTGTGCGGGAGGAAACCCACGCATGCACGGAGAGAACATGAACTCCACTCGCCAGGATTTGATCCAGTGACCTTCTCACTGAGAGGCAACAACTCTACCAACTGAACCACCGTGCCGCCCATGCTGGGAAACCATTTCAACATAGTGCACGTCAGACTATTCAAAAGGTTGATCAATAAAATACTTCAATCCTAAAGCACTCAGTAGCTGCATCCCCATTTCCTGTTATTAACTGGTAATATATGTTGAATTTAAAGCCTTAAACAGCCTTACTGAGAGTACTGATGGTTTTATAAACAAAGTAAAAATATTTATTCAGTCAGGCTTTTTTATCGTTTATTCACACATCTTAGCAAGCCTTACATCCATTTAAAGATTAATCGTACTTCTAGATTCCATTCTATATTTAATCGTAATTTCATTTAATCTGCTTTCTTACCTCAATGTCCAATTTACATTTATTTATTCTCGTCACCCACCAACAAAGACAAAGTTTTGCCTGTGTGTGTTCATCTGGCTTCTGTAGAATTATCAAAATATAAATAGTTATTAGAAAGTAATCACTGCTTGTATGTCTACAGCTGATTAGTTGTTGGAGTCAAGATGGCTGCCACAGCTAATCACCCTTAGCCAATAAAGAACGGCTTTAACTCGGTCATATTTACAGATATTTAGATGTAACTTTTGATGTGGTAGCAGCCGAGTCATCCTTAACACACTTTATATTCTAACAGATAATGCAAGAACGTTAAAATGTCATCTAAAGTTTGATCAAAGCATCTAAAAACATATATTTGTTTAAATCTTTGGCGTGGAAAGCGATGGGCAATGTGCAAATAATCAAATAATATTGGCCTTTTATTAGTGTATTAATATTTTATTACTATTGATTTTATAAAGTGGAGTTCATGCTCTAATTTTTATAATTTTAATATATTTTCCTGGTGTTTTCTAATAAAAGTAAATAAAAACTTTCCTTCCCTCTTTCATCATTGTTTAACCCTTTTACAATTTATTACTGTTCAAACATTTGTGCTCGTTGCCATTTTTGTTTGTCTTCCGTTTTATTAGGTTTTAACTCGACACAATTACATGAATTGTTTAAAAAAATAATCTGACAAGCATTCCCATTGAAGACAAAAATACAAAAGCTTGTTAGGTGAATCATAAACGGCAAACGGAGTGATCTCGCAGTTTTATCAAATCTGAACACTTTGATTCGATTTATTATCTCGCATACAAAGCTAAAGCTGTCCGACACTCGGCGTTTAAATGAAGACGTAGTAAAGGTGTTTACTGCTAGAAGTACAGATGGAGACGGATAAAATAAGGGTGAAACGGACAAATGGGAAGGAGGAGCAAACGAAGGAAAACTCCAGCCTGAGTGTTTCAAAACGACACGCCCGTGGTGTGTTCGGGAAGCCCATCATTACAGGGACTCACAAATGATAGCTCTGGTTAAAAACGACAGACTGACTTCAGTCTGCACAGCCAAAACAGCTAGAAAGAAACTTCAAGCAGCCAAAGAAATGTCCAATTTACGTATATGTTTTGCTGCTCTTTTACTTTTTCTTTGGAACGAGAGGACAACACTTTCGAGCTTGTACAAACTTGCCCACAATCTCTTCCACTTTGTCCCAGCGGGCCAAAGCAGACATGACCACAAGGTATACACAAAAATATGCCAGGTATGCCTTCACTGCACTGATCATATGATTGCAACAACAAAAACAACCTTTAAGCATTGTACACAACAACAACACTCTCCGGTTCTTGTGGTTATGGTCACATTAGAGTAAAACTACAGAAACTGGTTTGTTCCAGACAGCATGGACTTGGTTGTTTTGTTCCAGACAGTTTCTCTGAGTAATCAGCCTGAAAGAAACAGAAAGTTGAGAAGGCGTCTGTGATGAAAGAGAGCAGGAGACTGAGAAGTGAAGCAACAAACCCTCCTGTTTTCACCACCACACCCCACACATCCAGACCCACAAAACTGGTTTTTAGCTTTTTATCTAAACGCGGTCTCCCTCCTTTACCCGACCGCACCAGAGACAGCTGCTATGATCAGATTAAAAATAAATAAATCAAAGCTCGTCTACAACTGAGCACAGGATGTATGGATACGATCACCTGAACGCATCACTGTCCTCAGGGAGTGGGCGTTTTCAGCCATAATAATAAAAGAGAAAAATGATAAAAGTCTGGACTTTGACTCCTAACTTCACGGGTTTATGATGCAGGTGAAGCCGGCCACTTCCGTGTGCTCCCCCTCACCTGTCCATCTCCCAAGAAAACTGGCGGAAACGCCAATAAATGCCATAAAGGAATAAAAGTCACAACCCGATATGTCACGAACACCTCAAAATCTCACATTTGCACAACTGCTTGTTGAACTAGTTAACCTAGCATGCATATTTTAACCGCTTTCATGCGTTTAATGAAACTTTACCCGTTACTCATCAACGAATGCACCATCGATGCTAGCTGGATTAGCCTCCGAGGCTAACTCTCTGCGCTGACAAGTTCACCAAATTAAAAACGGTCACTCTTTATTTTTATTTCCCCCATTCATATTAATAATAATAATTCTCAACCTGCGATATCGAGCGCAAAACACCAAAATATAAAGCCATTACCGACTCCGGAGACTCTTAGGTTTGTTTGTCAAAGTCCATAAGTGTTTATGGCTTCGGGCCTAGCCGAGTTCTTCTTCTACTGCTGCGGCACAACCCGCAAGGCTGGACGGAAAGTCGGGAGGACAAGAACACCTCGGTGCCGTCGAAGTTACAGCCAAGGGGAAAAAATTACTTGAATTAAATTTAAAAAGAAAACTAGATCCGGTCGAGCGCAGGGCGAGAGATGAGCCACGATGAAAGACGGAGAAAACACCCACCTCTGAGGTTTCCTACTCCTTCCTCCCTCGCGTCGCTCCTTGTTATTCACTTGTCTGCGCTCTTCCTCTCCGCTGGAGGGAGGAAGAGGAGGAGGGCTCCGGCTCAAAACGAGAGCAGGAGGAAAAAGCTGCCTCTATGAAGGAGCGGACACTCATAAGAACACATTCACCTTTAAAAAGTCACAAAATGCTCCATGAAAGCCTCCAGTTAACAAAATAAAAGCTCTGCAGGTGTGGCGCCTTCACTTTCCCACCATGACTCCGCCCTTTTTTTTTTGTTGTCCCTGAACACACCTTTAAACACGCTGGAGAATTAAACTGAATCCACAAGGTCAATATTATTAGTACAAAATGATGTGCAGTAAAATAAATCTATTATAAGGTTATTTTCTAGAAGCAAGCAGGAGGGAGAGACGTGTTTCATTTTTTTTATTGTTTTATTTACTCTTTATTTATCCAGGTAGTCTCATTGAGCCACGAGAACTCATTCTCAAGCGAGACCTGTTTAGGGAGCAGATGGGGGTTAAGGGCCTTGCTCATGGGCCCAGAGTGGGGCGAATGGAGGTGGGGGCAAGTGTGGGTGCTTCACCTACCCGACCCACTTTTTTGATGTTGTTGGTACTGGAGTTTGAACCGACGATCTTTCGATCACAAGCCGACCTTCTCTAACCTCTGCGCCACCACTCCCACCATCTTCAATTTGGATGCCTCAATCACAATGGAGTCTCCAGAATCTAAGGTCCTCTGGATGAAACGTTCCCTCCATCCATTATCTTTTACCCCCTTCTTCCATTTTGGGTCACGGAGGTCATCGGTGCCCATGTCCGGCAATCACTGTGCGAGGGGCGGTGTACACCCTGGACGGGTCTCCAGTCCATCACAGGGCCACATAGAGACAAGCGAGACAAACAACCATTCACTCTCTCATCTAGGGACAATTTAGAGTTACCAATCCGTCTAACATGCATGTTTTTGGTATGTGGGAGGAAACGGGAGTACCCGGAGAAAACCCACGCATGCACGGAGAGAACATGCAAACTCCACCCAGAAAGGCCCCTGGACCGGGATTTGAACCAGGGACCTGCTCGCTGAGAGGCAGCAGCTCTACCAGTTGCACCACCGTGCTGCCCGAAACGTTTCGTCTTTTATCCAAAGGACTTCGTCAGACTGAGATCTTGCAGCAACCTCAGTCATAAATAGACTGAAAAAGGATCCCACACAAGGATGCTGTGGGAGTTTCAGAGAAACTGGGACGTTTATTTTCTAAACATGACCCCCCAGTGGCTTTCAAACCCCAACATATATTACAGCAAAGACTGGTCCATCCCAAAGATCCAGATCTAGTCGATTAAATTATAAATGTAGGAGCAGCTGCAAAGCTGGGCAGCGGTATGAAGCGGGTAGACTGCCAAGAGGACAGTATTTTGATTTTTTGCTAGCCCTGCACACAAAAATAAAGATTTTGTTTTAAATTGGTGGAGCAAAAACGCAGCTGCAAGGCTGACTGGTCACTTGCAGTGGCGGCTTCAGAGATATTTTTCTGCAGGTGCCGGTGGGGGGTGGAGGTGGGGGGGTTAAGCATTTTATTGAGGGAGCTATGAAGGATCATTTGTTCTTGCAGTTCTCAAGGTCAAGGTGTCTTTACTGTCACTCACATCAAATGTGGTACATGAGGTGGAACGAAACTATGTGCACAGGGTCCCAGTTGCATCCTACAAAAATACAAATTGTAAAGAAAAACAGTAACAAGATCTAAGATATGAACTAAGAAATATGCTAAACTAAGACTAAGCACTACTAGTACGAAACAATGCGCCAAACAACAGCAGCACGAACATGAGTCTGCGTGAGCAGATGAGGACAAATGAACATCGAACTTTCAGTAACTTGAATTTTCACTTCCGGTTCAGAGGTTCATTTCCTGTTTTGAGATTGGATTTTTTTTTTTAGCTCGATATAATCATTGATTTATTATTTTTTTTATTAGTTGTGTTTTGCGAGGAAAATATCACAACAAGGCACATATTAAAGATTATTAACTTAGATGAAAAAGAAAATAATCTGATATTTTCTTGGGTGTGCTAAGAAGGGGTGCTATGACTTTTCCAGGGGGAGCTGTAGCACCCCTAGCTCCCCCCTGGAGCCGCCTATGCTTGGTTGCAAACAGAATTTAGTGAAACTGCAACGGAAAATGCGCTTTTATGTAACTTTATGGCTCAGACAAGCAATCGCAATTCCTTACATTTATGCTATAATTTTTTTATCATGCAGTTTTTAAAGAGGAAATTTAATCTTTGTATTTTTTTACATCAAACAAAACGTTTGTACTGCGCTCATACTGCCATCTTGTGGTCATAAAGGTAAAGTACACCTGCAAACCTGGTGAACAGGGTTTGAAGTACAGAAGAAAAATGTCCAAAAACGTTTTAAAGTTTTAATCCCCTACTTAGGATTTAGACCTAATTAAGAGTGTTTAAAAGTTAAGGCTGTAGCTTGTTGACATGAACTAAAACTGCGGTTTTAGACTAAATTTACGACTTAATGTTGGTTGTAATAAGCCAACAGTTTAAAACAAAATGCTTGAATAAAACAAAGCCCACTAGATTAACTAATCCATTTGTTTAATATTTAAACTAATTTCAGCTTTTAATATCATAACATCTTGTTGGAAATGCAACTGTTTTTTCTAACATTTAACAAATAATGTTCTCAACAACTTATCATTGAATCATCTTTGTTTTCATCGCACAGCTCGTATAGTCACATCGGGAAATCTTTCCTACTCTATTATAAGTTATTTATTTAAATCTCAGGATAAAGTGTAACTTAGCCCACTTTAACTAAACAAGGCTCTTTAAACAGTTTTTACTCATGATGCTAAAAATAAAGTCAAATCATATGGACATGCTGACAGTATTTCAGAAGTTTCAAGGGGGTAAATAAAAATAAATAGCAAATAATGTCTAATCCATTCGATTAGTGGGTTTTATGTAATACTGAATGCTTAAATTAGGCTTCCTGTTTGCTGTTGGTCACAAATAATCTCAAAACAAGGAGCATGACCGAATGTTCACAAGGAAATAACAAAAGTTTGGTTTCAGAAATGGTTTCTTTCATCTCAGGGGAAATATGCATGCATTGCACAAACTGCACTTGTGATTGTAGATTAAGCCTCCTTGTTTTTATATATATCTATATATATATATATATATATATTTAATAATAT